TTTCACCAACAATATACAAGGACTCCCTTTTCTCCAAATCCTCCCCAACACTTGTCATGTCTTGTCTTTTGATGATAGCCATTCTAGCAGATGTGAAATGGTATCTCATTGCAGTTGTGATTTGCATTTCCTTGATGACTAGTGATGTTGAACACCTTCTCATGTACCCATTGGCCATCTCTATGTCTTCTTTGGAAAAATGATTATTCAGTTCCTCTGCCTGTTTTTTAATATAATTTGTTTAGCTATTGAACTGTATGAGATTTTTATGTATTCTGGATATTAATTTCTTATTGCATTTATGATTTGCAAATATTTTCTACCATTCCATATATTGGCTTTTTATTTTGATGATAGTTTTTTTTGCTGCACAGGAGCTTTTTAGTTTAAAGTGTTCCACTTGTCTGTTTTTGCTTTTGTTACCAATGTTGTTGTCAAAAATATTTGCCAAGACCAAAGTCAAGGAGTTTACCCTCTATGCTTTCTTTATGAATTTTATGGTGTTGGGTCTTTTTTAAATGTACACCAACTTTATTAAACTTGGTGTTATTTTTGACTACAAAGATAATAAGTAAACCTTCATTATTAGAAATCCAAAATTACATAAAGGTATACAAAAGACAACAAGAATCCATAAAACATATGAATAACAGGAAAATCCATTGCCATCCAGAGAAACCATCATTAAGCTTTCGATTAACAATTTTATAGACCCCTCAATAGTATACTGCTGTCTGACTCTGCCCAGTAATAACAATATCCCATAGACATTTTCATGTTTTTAAGGGTAGGGTTGATTTTATTGGTATTTGTGAAACCATTAGATCTATATTAATTCATATATGTCTCTTCCATCTATGCACCATTGTATAGAGATATCAACTTTTACTGACATATTTCACTTTCTGTCTATATTTGGATTCTTTGCTCTATTTCATGTAATACACAACTCTTGAATGAATATGCTTAAAAATGAATTATTTTCTAATTATCTCTGTAGAACAAATTTATGTTAGAAGGATCACATGAAATATACATTTTACATCCTTCTGCATTTTGTCTAGCAGGTAGATACTATGAACTCTTACATCTAACAACTTATCAATGAATGTTTCCATTTTTCCAGTATCCTTGCCAACACTGGGTATTATCTCTATTTTCCCTCTTTAGCAATCTTGCGTGGTATAATGAAAGCATGTCATAGATGTTATATGCTCTTATTTTATTGGAGAATAAGCTATACATTTCTTCTGATGAATATGGGCTGTTTATATTTATTAGTTCCTCAATGACTGCCTGTATTTTTACCCAATTTACTATTCTTAAGTAATTTTTCTTAGGAATACTTTAAAAGTTTGATATTAGAATTTTTGATATTATTATCTATATAGAAATAGTTAATATAGTCAATTTCTTCCTTTATAGTTCATGAGTTATATACTATGGTCTCCCTAGCCCTAAGAAAACAATATTTTCATACTGTATCAATGCTTTTAGTATTCATGACAATAATTTTTACATTTAAATACAAAACTATGTGAAATTAGCTTTTATATAAAACAACTATTAATTCATCTTCATTGTTTATGTTGTTCGTTGTTTTCATTGTTAACACTATTTGTTAAGCAGCCTGTATTTCCTATCATTGATTTAAAATACTATTTCATCATATAAAACATTTTCATTTTATTTGAATTTATTTCTGAACTAACCAATGATCAACTGAGCTATCTTTCGGGCCTAACCTAATGTAATATTTAATGAATATAATTAAATGTTTTTTTAAAAAACAAATCATTTATATGTTATTGTTCTTCCCAATCTCATATACCTGTCTTCTGGAGAGGAATTTTAGAGTAATTTTAATAGTTTTTCATTACCAGAACAGTGGGGAATTTGTTCTACATTTTGTTAATTTAAATATTTAAGAGACTTTTTACAACATTAACAACAGTTAATGTCAGAACCAACATTTGCCTTCATTTATTTTATTAAAAAAAATTATTTATTTATGCATACAAGAGCTGGGATACAGGCCAGAGAAGCGGGGAGTGAGAGGATTCTCTAGAGACAGAGTGGGGAACAAAACAGGCAGACTGACTGAAATACACTGCTGAGGGGAGCAGCGGGCGAGTCAGGAGAGGTCTGCTGTGCCATGCAGGTTGCTCCCTGGCTGGCCAGGGATCGAGCTCATGCTGCAGGGGCTGCGGATTGCTTCATAGTGCGGTGCTTAACCCTTTGCACCACCAGGGAGGCCCCCATTTGCCTTCATTTATTCATGTTATTTTATGTTGTTCAGTATTATATATCAGCTTTCTTCAAACACACCTTTCACATTTCTTGTTGAATTTGCTCTATGTGTTTCATGGCTTTTTGCTATAATAAATGGGATCTTTATCACATTATATTTGCTGTTTATTGCTGAAATATAAGGAAACTATTGGTTTTTTTATAACACTAATCTTTAAATGATCCTCCTGACTGAACACATGATATTTTCTAATAGTTTGTCTGTTGATTATTCTGCATTTTCCAGCTGTACAGTCTTATGATCTGGAAGCAATGATTGCTATTTCCTTTTTAATATTCATGTTCACATCATTCCATTATAGTTCATGTATTAGTTTTCCATAGCTGCCATAACCATCTACCACAAACATAGCAACTTAAACAATACAAATTTACTAACTTAAAGATCTTTAGGTTAGAAGTGTAATCAGGTATCGCTGAGCTAAAACCAAAGTGTTGGCTGGGCTGCATTCCATCTGGAGCTTCTAGGGGAAAATCTATTTCCTTGCCAGTTCTGATTTCTGGACACCACTGCATTGCTTGGCTCATGGTCTCTTTCTCCATCTTCAAAGTCAGGAACATTACATCTCTTTGTGTCTTCCTTCTGCAGTCACCTCATCCTCTGACTCCATCTTCTACTTAGATGGACCCTTGTGATTGCATTGGGCTCACCTGGATAATCCAGGATAATCTCTTTTAAGGTCAGATGATTAGCAATCTTAATCCATATGCAAATTTTATTCCCCTTTGCCATGTAACCTAATGTATTTAGAGATTCTGGGCATTAGAGTATGGAAATATTTGGAGACTCAGAATCCTGCCTACTATAGCAGCTATCTTTGTTTTGTGTCTGACTTTAATCAGAAAGCTTCTAGTGGTTCACAATCAAGAACACTTCAATGCTTGCATGAAAAAGAAATGGAAATATCCTTTTGCACTATTTTACTAAGGGTGTTAGTAGTTAGATGTCCTCTTGTTAGGCTCAGACATGTTAGTAAGAGTTAGGTCTTTTTGGAGAATTGACCCCTTTCTCAATTTTCTTCTTCATGCCTGTTAACATTCCTTGCTGTGAAGTCTACTCTGTCTGAAATTAATATAGATATTCCTACTTTATTTTGATTGGTGCATTGACTACTTTTCTCCATTGATTTACCTTTAATCAATGAGTGTCTTTATCATAAAAGTGAGTTTCTTGTAGACAGCACAGAGTTGGACTTTGTATTTTGATCTACTTTGAAAATCTTTCTGTTTAAATTGATACATTTAGACCATTAACATCCAGGGTAATTATTGATATAGTTGGATTAATATCCACCATATTAATTAATATTTTCTATTTGTTGCTTTTATTTTTTTTTCCTATTTTTGTCTTTCAGTCTTTTTCTATATTCTGTCATTGAGTATTCTATATAATTCATTTTTTTCTCCTTAGAATATGTTATACTTCATGTTTTCAGTTATTTTTAATTTTTGCCCTAGAGTTTACAATATACATTTACAATTAAGTCTAATTCTAGTAGTAATAAGTAATACTGCACTGCTTTCATGGGTAGTGTGAGAACTTTATACAAACAAAATAATCCTAATTCCTCCCTCACCCATACTTTTTATCATTCATTCCACTATTTTATAAGCATACATAAATATACACACATGCATATATATACACCATCAAAAACAATATTGCTATTAATATTTCAAACAAACTGCTTTCTACTAAATCAGTTAAAAATGTTTTTATCTTCACTTAATCCTCCTTTGACATTTTTTCTTTCTTCCTTTATGTAGATCCAAGTTCCTGACCTGTATTATTGTCCTCTTCACTAGATAACTTATTTTAATTTGCTTACAAGGGACATGTACTGGTAACAAACACCTTCAATCTGCAGTTGTCTGAGAAAGTCTTTATTTCTTCTTCACTTTTGAAGGATAATGCCACAGGATACAGAGTTCTAGGTTGGTGACCTTTTTTATTTCAACACTTTAAATATTTCACTGTAGTCTCTTCATGTATAGTCTTTGAAGAGAATTTGACTATAAATCATATCTTTGTTCTTCTATAGGTAGGTGTTTACCCCATCCCCTTCTGTTTTTTTCAGGATTTTTTATTTATTTTTAATTTTCTGTAGCTTGAAAATAAATTGCCTGAATGTAGCTCTTATGATATTTATCCTGTTTAGAGTTTCTGAACTTGCTGGATTTGTGGTTTTGTGTCTGACATTAGTTTGGGAGGGGGAATCTCAGTCATTATAGTTTCAAATAGTTCTTCTGTTCCTTTCTTTTTTTTCCTCATCTAGTATTCAAAATACATGCATGTTATACCATTTATAGATATTTCATAGCTTGGATATTATGTTCTGGTTTGATTTAGTCTGGTCTTTTGGCCTTTTTCTTTACCATTTTGAAGGTTCTACTGAGATTCGCAGAAGCTCAGAGTCTTCCCCCATTGTGTCCAGTTTAATGAGTCCAACCAAGTCATTCTTCATTTCTGTTACAATGTGTTTATCTCTAGCATTATTTTTTGCTTCTTTCCTAGGATTTTTCTTCTCTCTGCTTACATTGCACATCTCTTACTTCATGCAGCCTAATTTTTCCATTGGAGTCCCTAACATGTTATTCATAGTTGTTTCAAATTACAGTGTGATATCTCCAAAACCCAAGCTATGTCTGGTTCTGATATTTGTCTTCTTTTAAACATTTTTTTTTCCTTTTATGGGAGAATGTGAACTCAGTCCCCTACTCCCACAAATGTTGCAGTCAAATTTCCCACATTTGGGGAAATCACAGGGATCAGCATATCTGGATTGCAATGGCTAAGCCTCACCCTGGGAAAACCACCTTCATGATCATGGTATCTCCCTTACCAGGTATTAATCATGTATGTATATATATTGCCATTTAGTATGCCTTGTAATTTTTTTCTTGATAGCTAGACTTGATGTTCCTGGGAAATTAACATGATATACACAGGCCTTTCCTATGTGGTGAAGGATGGGAAAAGGGAAAGGATTCTATAGTGCAATGATTAGGTTTTAAATTTTAGTGAATCTTTATATATGAACTGTGAATTTCACAAGTCTTTCTCAGTTTTTTCCTTTATCCTTATGTAGGTAAAATTTGCTAAAGTTCAAAATGAAAATGCATACATTGTGCAAAAATGAAAAATGATGTAAGAATTATATGAAATAAAATATTAAAAAAAATTGCTAAAGTTGGCTTGAGTTGGATATATTCTTTCTCTCAGCTCAATTAAGCTCTGATATATCCTAACAGGTGAGGCACTGATTAATGTTTTTCCTGAGGACAGACTTTCTTAAGAATAACAGAATGTCTTGGTTCCTTTTCTGTCCTCCCTGCAAAAAAGATGAGTGTATTTTTCTCCAGTATTTATGTGGGAACTTGCTCAAGTTCATGGATATAGAAGCTCAGTAAATATTTGGTAAATTAATCTTCTACTTGAATTGCCAATATTTAATTGGATTTGTTTTTTATATCATGTTAAAATGAGATCAACTGTATTTTGCAAAACCAAATCTATTGACAGTCATCAGTTCCACCTCTCCCCCATGAGAAAATAAGTAATGAAGTAAATTACCCTGGGGTAGAGATTTCTACTGAATTTATTACAATGTTATTTTTGAAATCTTGTTATTACTACTTTGTTTTTAACATTCCTTTATTCTTATTTTGAAATTACATTTACAAACCATCTTTACCTATAATTAACGTAGTTCTTCAGGTATAATTATATGTTTACCACACTTACATGCTCAATTCAGCCCTTTCAAACTAAGATTCCCCTATTCTTGAGCTCTTTCACTCAATAATATTTTAAAAATTCCAGAATATTACAGTTTTCAGGAAAAGTACACAAGCAAAATATTTCCCAAAATCTTTTCTATTTTAGAATAAGTATCTGTTGGTTTTACACATGGGTGGCAACTTAATAGTTACATTAATTACTGTTTCTTGCACAGGTTTTTTTTTTTTTTTTTTTCTGTCACCCTGAATGCAATCTACTTTTCCCCTTAGGTAACTTTACTGTCTTGAATTTTAAAAGAGATTTTTCCTTTCCTTTGAAATTCATCAGTTCACATCTGGCAATATTTGAGGGATTTTTGTTCTCTGTTAAGTTTTCTGGTATTTGAATGAGTCCTTCACGTTAAAAAAAACAATCATTCCTTCAATTCTGAAGTTTTCTTCTCTTAGCTCTTGGAATATGTTTCTATTCCATTTATACTGTTTCCTTTCTTCAAATATCATGGTTTGTTTTTCAATGTCTGTTCTCTCTATCAAGTTATCATATGGCGAATGTTTTCATCCTTTCCTCGTGTTCATTTCATTGTTTTCTCAATGTTGTCTCCATACCATTGACAATATTTTCAGATGATAAATTTGGTCTTTAAAGATTGATTTTAAAATTTACAGTAGTTTATTTTCATTTTAATTCCTTTTCTCAACTTTATGAACTTTTTTACAACTTAATCAGTTACATAATTTCAATATATATCTCATTCTTTACAATCTTTGTGTTTCTTGAGAGTGTGAAGCAGTTGCAACTAAGATTCTTCTATTTCCTTGACTCCATCTTTTTTCAAAACTCATTTTATTTGTGTTTTCCATTTCCATTTATTCATGTATTTATTTGTTTTGCTAATTCCTATTGTGGTTTCCTATTGCAGGACTTCTTTTTTCTTCTTCTTCTCTTCTTTGAAAAGAGTCATTTATCTACAGCTGTTCCTTTCCCAAGTTTGTGTGGATTTCCTGTTGCCGTGAGCACTGTATGAATCTTTCCCTTGGAATAAGAGCTGGAGCACTGAGTATTTTTGGATTTTGTTTTTCTCTAGTCACATAGTGTCCAAGGGGTGTGGACCAGAACCTGAGGCATTGAGCTTTACAATTTGAGAAATTTGTCTTTTTCCTCTTTCTCTATAATTTTTGGAAATAACTGAGGGTGGCACCACCTTATTGGTGATTCAGTTCTGTCTCATGGAAAAAGGGATATGATCTTTGGACTTGGGCCCTCTGCCTTTTCAGGGTGATTGGTTATAAGTTGCTATCCTTGTTTCTTACATGTTTTTAATTTGGGTTAGCCATGCATTGACTTTTATACCCTCCTGAGCCCTAGCTTCACTATCAGCCCAAACAGGAAATTCTAAGAAATTAATTCCTTCATGCTTTTCATACATCTGTCTTGTCAGAGGTCAAGGGACAAGCTGACAACAATTCTTATCCAGTCTTTAAATTTTTTTTTTAAAGCAACAATGGAAGAGTTTCTTCAGCACCAATTACTCCCCATATTTCCTCCTGGAAAAACCTGTATCTTAATTCTATCTTTCCAAATCTAAAACATCTGCAAAATTCAGCTTTTTCTTCCCTTACTCTTTTTTCTGTTGTAATGTTGTTTTCTAAGGGGACTCATGCATTCATGCCAAGCATTTTCTTCCAACTTTGTCCAAATTGTTCTGAATTTGAAAACCACTTTTCACAACTCCCATAGTAAGAAAGAGGTATACTTCCCTGGTTTCAGGTTAATAGTTTAGTCTTTTCTTGAATTTTTTCATTCTTGTTCTTTTGGGAAGAAAAAGTTTTATGAATCTACTTTTGAGGGTATCTTTCATTGATTAATTTTTCATACTTTAATTCCAAAACATTTTTCTTTCTTTTCTATTATTCTTCAGTTCAATCTGTGCTGCTTTACAGTGTACCTTAACAAAATTACACTGGATTCAAAATTATTTGCTTTCTGAGTGATTCAGACTCACTGAGTAACCTTCATATCACTCCTCTTCTTGGGGCATTATTTTATTCAGCTGCTAAGTAATTGGTTTATGTCAAGTTGTTTCTTATTATTCTTCTAGTGCTAAAAGTTCATGAGATGGTAAATGCTAAACCTAGATTTGTGACAGTTGCACTATTCTTGGTTTCTAGACTGCCTGGGGAGGAGCTGGAGGGGCTGGAAGGTATTGGATTCTAATCTATAACTAAATCATTCTGGATCTCAAAACACACAAACTGTGAACAGCACAGGGGATACATGTGAATCCCCAACGCTGAAACTTCAAAAGCCTGATAAACATTCACAAAGAAAAATAATGGTTCAGCTTTCAGCCATTGGCCTAAGAAGTTAACACATCTACCTGGCAAAACTACTGAAATAGTAGCAAAAGGAAAAGACTCTAAATCTGAAATTCACATCTAAAAATATGTATTATTTGAGAGTTGTGGAGAAACTTGATCCAATGAAAATCATTCCACTGTCCACTGGCACTGTTTCATTGCAAGTTCATCACAGTCAATCCAACTTTATCTAAATATAGTTTTAAAAAATAGACAAATGTCTATCCCAGGAGTTTTATAAAACCCAATCGTATTTCATAGGCACTCCATGCCCAAGGATGTGAAATAGGCTGCCTTGCTCTACAAATATCATACTTTATTTCATGTATCCAAAGTTTGGAGTCAAACTCTACCCTATAACTTAGAGATGCAGGATCTCTGGATTTCTTGACTGACAAGATTTCTCAGAATCTAGAACTTCCTGTGGTCTGAGTAGTCATACAAAAGCAGAGAAAGACACAGAAGAGGTTGGCAAAACAGAAGCCAAACTGGGAGTTGGATGGGTCTGAAGGGAGACTTATGCCTCAGTGCTGGCTAGACTGCTGGTTTGTTATGAGAACTTAAGTCCTTGTGACCCTGAGTTCAGCTAGCCTCCCTGACCTCTTGTAGTCTAGACAAAAATGAGTCAAAATTTTAATTCATATTTTGTGTGAGTCTACTGCAAATTCCTAGGGAATTTTTTTGTGTACTTTGGGGCTTCTGCTTTTGTGGGTGTGGTTTCTTTTCTGTATCAACTCAGTACAGTAATGACATTCAGCCTCTTTATGAAATTTCACTAAAAACTGATCCTTACAAAGCACTTGTGATTTAGCAGTAGGACTAAAATGAAAAAAGGATTTCTATCATGGCTGGCTTTATGACATGAAATTAGATATTAGGATTCCCCATATAAAATATCACCCACATCATTTCACCAATATTGATATCCCATGGTCATGACTTACATGCTTTCTTGCTTTCCATAGTCTGTATTGGCCAGAGTAAGTTAAAAACAACCCAATATCCTAGTTGTTTAAAGAAAGAGTGGTTGTTGCCTATATCATAGTCAAGTTAGGTATTTAGAGGGAAGTCTTGCACAGTGATCCAGAAATCCAATCTCTTCTCTAGTGGTTTCAGCTCAGAGCGCTTCTCTCTGGATCTTCTCTATCCAACTGGGAAACAAGGAAATGAGTGTGGAAAATTGAGTATGAAGAAACACATGGGATGGTTTAGGGGCCAAGCCAAGAAGTGGCTCACATTGTTTTTATCAACAGTTCATTGTCCAGACCTACTCATGTGGCCCCACAGAACTGCAGAGGAAGCTGGGAAATGTAGTAATAAGTAGTCCCAGGAGGAAAATGAACAGTTGGCATGAACACAGCATTCTTTTTATCATACTCTCTTTTTGGTTCCTTTATCATACTTCTCCTTGCCCCCTCTCCCTTTCCATCCCTACCACTCACAATCTCATATATTGAATAGAATAGCATAAGCATTATGTTTTTTAAAATATGTATGTATGTATTTATTTATTTATTTTTGCATAGAAGAACTGGGGTATAGGCCAAAGGTGTGGGTGGTGGACAGTAAGAGGATTCACCAGAGGCGGAGTGGGGAACAGAACAAGTGGATTTACTGAAATACACTGCCTAGGGAAGCAGCAGGAGAGACAGGGGAAGGCTGCTGCGCTATATGTGGGTTAGCTCCCTGGCCAAAGATCAAACTCAGGCCTTAGTGGTGATAGCACTAAGACGTAGCCCCTAGCCCACCAAGGAG